TTTGATGTGAATCATCGTATTTTCTTCTTTTTTTAGTTCAGAAAATTAAAATGTAATATATGTTGTACATTTTTTCGTTTAAATTGTGTAGTCGATTTTAGCCGCTTGAAATCGTTTCTATTCTATTATTCTTCGAATAAAAAGATTTCTCCCAGATATATAACATCGCTGTAATATAGAAGATCGCCCAAAATCGGATATCGACGTTCCGTGCGTTTCATCGACACGCGATCGCGTGAAGCTATCGCCAAACTGTAACGTACTTGTACACGTGCATAATATATATATATATGTGTGTGTTTCTTGACTCAATCTTGTTAACAAATTTGCTTGCCTATGAAGAAACAACTCGTATAAAAATTCACTACACCAAGTTCGCACGCACGTTTGATTCCGGATCACCATTTCCTTCTTTCCTCGACATCAAAATAGGAGGGATAATTAACTTACCCTTTTTCGCTCGGCCGAGCAAACGACTCCCTCTCCAAATTTCTTAACCGACTTGAAAATTTCGCGTGAGAATTAAAACGTGTAAAACTTTTATATTCTGCGTATATTATATTTTGCGTGTAAAGAAAGAAAATTTGTTGGGTATTAAAGTGTATGAAAATGTTTGACGTCTTTCATTTTTCTTATTTCGTTGAAAACTTTGTAATAATGTTCTCACATTCATTGTCTATTATTCTTATTTTTCATCATTTTCTCTTGCTGCATTTCTATTTTCATCGTTATTTCTTGTAACGAGTAGAAATAATTTCGTTGTTCGAAAAATCAAACTCATCCTCGAATTAATTTTATTTTACGGTATTCCGTGTTCATGAAACTAAAGAAGCTTTGAAAATAATATTTCTATTCCCACTTATCGTGGAACTCGGATTCAGTTCGATTTAATTTGAGATAAAAAAAATATAATCACTTGATATATTATTCTTCTTTATAAGATTATATTTATATAATTTTAAATCGAGCATAAATAAATATTGGGTGAGAGTCACTATTCGAAAAGGGTTTAATCCTCCAGGCCTGTTTCCAGCTACTCCAGACTCAATGTGTTTGGTGGAATTTCTTACAGCTAATTTATAATGATTTCACACACAAATTAACCCATGAAACTTTTATATTTTAATATTTTATGTATCTTTAGATATAAAGAAACGAAATTTATCGAATATTAAAATCTATATCGTTGTTTTGTATGATATTTTATGAAGCAATTATCGAAGTAGAGCAATAATACTTTTCCTTCTAACTTTTTTATCGCATAATTATTTGTTTCGCGCAGTATTTCATTAATAAGTTCATCGGTAAAAAATAGTTTAAAAAAATCTAATGGTACATTTACATTCGAAGATACTTGCGATCCTACAAATTTTTCACCTGGCACAAATCGTATTCTTCGCGATATATTTTCCGATTCTATGCATGTTATCCATCTGGAATTTTCCCTGTCTTCCGCGATATCTTCACTTGATTGCTTTCGCATTCG